CAAGCTCTAGGTCCCTACAATGTGGGGTACCTTAGAGCTGCAGCCTTTTGCTTCTTTTTAACACTACTGAAACCATTGGGGGACGTCATCCATTGATATAGATAGTGGCATTGATAATGTACAACTATACATCTCTATCCCTAGTCAGGCAAGTAATACTATGGCCGTGCTGGCTGAGGATCTGTAAGATGGGGAAGAACCGGCTTTGACTCAATCTTGGCAAGATGGAATATCTCTCGATTTTTGCCCTTCCCAGGCCCAGAAGATACTCCATCTTTGACTCTGGAGGGGATGGCACTCCCCTGGACCAAGCTGGTGCACAATTTGAGGGTTCTCCTAGGTGCATGGCTGTTGCATGAGGAGTGGCACTGGTGTCTAGTACACCAGTGGCTAAGGGACCTTTGCACAATTTATCTGGTACACCAATTGCTACCTTTCTGGACTGGGAGACCTTGCACAGTGGCTCATGCCCTGCTGATTTCCTGTTTGTATTACTTCAATGTGCTACACATGGGCTACTCTTGAAGAACATCCAAGTTGCAACTGGTCCAGAATATGGTGGCACACCAATTAGCTCATGTTACATCTCTGTAACAAGCAGCATTGGCTCTGACTTTTCTTCAAGGTGTAATTTCAAGGTCAGGTTATTAACTTTAAATCTCTATATAGAGCAGTGGTTCTCAACCTGTGCGTCGCGACCCCATTTGCGGTCGAACGACCATTTCACGGAGGTTGCCAAACAACGCAGTCCGCCATTTTTCCCCCTTTTCCTTAGCTGTGCTACTCTCTCTTATTCTATTGGCTTTTGAAAGCCAATAGAATAGACTCTATTCAAGAGACCCTATTCTATTGGCGTTTGAAAGCCAATAGAATAGACTCTCTTGAATAGAGTCTAATTCTATTGGCTTTCAAAAGCCAATAGGAATTGTCCAGGCTGTCTCTGCCCTGCTGAGCCCACCAAAAACGGTGCTGCAAGTTGTCTGCAGCTAAGGCGAGGTTTCTGGATGTTTCCACCACTCCCTGCTGAGCAACTACTAAATGTAAGTAAAAGAGGGCCAGGGGTGGGAGGTGAGAGGCCGGTGGGCGCAGGGAGGGTTGCTGGCACGTGTGGGGCCCAGTGGGTGGCTTACCTCCCTTGGGCTGGGCCAGCTAGTGGCCCAGCCGGTGGTCGGCCTGCGCCGTCGCTGCCGCTTGCCAGCTACACCTCGGCCGGCACGGGGCGGCACCACGCATGCGCGGCACTCCCGGGCTGAGGTGATTGCTGGGCGGCCCGCGTGCAGCTGCAGGAGAGGCGGCGGAGTATGCACGCCTCCTCCTGCCCGCCCACAGGGAAATACAGGTAGTCCTCGACTTACGACCACATGGTTGAGGTCACGGCATTAGGAAGGTTGAGAACCACTGATATAGAGCCAGGTTATGTGTGGGACCACTTCTCACTAAGGACATCTACTGATCTTACTAGATAAGACAGGGTGGGCACATTCCTGGTCCTATCCTTTAAATAATGGCATTCTATGAGATCTAGGAAATGTGCCTTCTACGTAACACCCCCTCTCCTATGGAAAACCTTCCCTCCTAGTCCCCTAGCAGGGAACTAGCAGGCCCTAGCAGACTCCTAGCCTCCTAGCCTTCTGAAAAGCACTTAAGATCTGGCTTTTCTGCCAAGCACTGAGATAGGGTGAGACTGATGAAAGTTTTTGTGGTAGACTGCTTGTTAAAGTTTATTATGGTGTTAAGTTTTTACTATTTGTGGTTTTAATAGATATATTTATATATTAATTGTGCAGTTACATTGGTTTGGAACTGCCCACATATCTTCTGCATAATAGATGGCTATATAAATGTTTTAAACTCGTAAGTACTTATAAAATTGTTCCAAAATGCAGATTCCTAGAATATTTGGAAGGGAAACAAAAAATACTTTGTGTTTTCAGTTAAGATATCATCTGCTCAAGAAGATTAGGGATATAAATGCCTCTCATATTGCCTCAGCATGTATACATTTATACACATATACATAAGCACACATGGAGAAAGATCAGAAATTTGTAAGTTATGAAAATGTTTGTTTTCTAAAGTTTTCTGGGTAAAAAAATACTCACAGCATGCTCTTTTCCTTTATTATAGAGCAATGTCAACACATTACATTTTATTTGAAAACAAGAAATATGTATATAAACAGAACAATTGCTATGACACGTATATATCAAAATACTATAGACATTTACATAGACATTTCATATATACAAATTACAATATCATCTTCTATATGAAGATGGTGTAACTGTTCAGTAAATTGATCTTAATTATACACAGAATTGTTTCTACTTGAAATTGTTGAAGGTTCAAAACCACATGGTTGTTTTGCGTACTTAAGCACAGCAGACATCATAAATTGGTTGACAATATTTTGTAGCCATACAATGTAAGTTGTGTTGTTCTAAGCAATCCATTTTGCTGGGAAAAAATGCTGCTTATAAGACCCACACCATAGACATTATGATAATAATAAAGAAGTCATTTGGATTATAATGATTTAGATGGATTCACATTTTACATTTTCATTATATTTTTTTAATTTTGATTTTCCTAGAAGATACTTCAAGCATCATATATGAATTCAGTAAATAAGAGACCTACTTAAGTTATAATTGCTGCAAAGGAATTCTGAACATTGAAATAGTTACCAAAAACTGAGCACTATAGAGAAAGAAGAATAGTTGGACTTAGCTCAGCATGTAATTTTGAGTATATTGGCTGCAATTCACTCGTCCTTCCCATTAAAGTTAACACGATGGATATAGCAATTTAACTAGTTACTCTGATAGAGAGCTCCATTATCTTTAATGACCTAAAATAAAAGCAGGAACAGCACATCAATGTTAAAATGCATTAAGACCAATATTCAGTAACTGGATCCCTACTTAGAACAGTAGACTTTCACTGTTCTAAATCTTTTCTCAAAGCTATAGATCAGATCCTCCTATTCCATCCTGCCCTTGGCTTTCTTTGAGACTTTCCCAGCTGAGATTTTCCAATACTGGGCATCATAGATCTGAATATCAGACAAAAGACTAAAGTTAATAAAAGGTTCTTGCCTCTAAACCTGGAATCCTATTTCCCAATTAAGAGGAGGAACCAGGTATGCTACTGTCCATCAGGCACTGCAGGAAACAAAAGAATTATATTATTATTTACTTATAAAAAAAATCAAGATTCCCTTAAATTGGTTATCTCTAAAAGCCCATATAAAATAGTTTGTTTGACAGTAATAGAGAAATGATTCGTTATCTTTTCCAGGGTGTTTTCTTACTACCCAAATTAGCTTACAACCTTGGACTTTCCTATTGATCTCCACCCAACTAACTAGAATGGATCTGCTTAACATTTCAAGAATAGCCAAAATCAGCTGAGTGCTGTCATTCGCTGAGCTACCTATTTATAACAGATAACAAAATTTGAATTCACTGGGATTTATCTCAACTCAATCCAAATATTAATTATTTCTATGAAGAGTTTTGAAAACTTATTCAGAAGTGTTCTGGACCCTGTGTGAACAAAAGTACCCTTTGGTATTCATTAATTCATTATCTCTAGGCATCCATAAGCGCAAAAGCAAGATGTCATGCTGCCTTAAGAAATGGTTCAATACTGCATAACTCTTAAAGAAGCAGAATATGATTCCCAAGCTGAAGCTCCTTTCTAAAAGTGAAGACATTTGTTTGGTATTTTAATGTAAGCTTACATAACTTTTTACCCATATGCAAACTGAAATTGTGGTTGAAAAGCATGCTTCTCATTTTTGATGCAATTTTCCAATTTATAAAATATACAAGTATGCATGTTATGAAAGAGTGCATAGAAATGTCTATATTAGTGGGAATAATGTGCAGAATGCACAATATTTGACAACTTGCTTGTCAAGACTTGAAGTATTATAAATTATATACAATATTTTTTATGAGAGGCGTTCGTAAATTTATAAATGAATTTTCATGCACACTTTTAAAAAACAAATTTATCTAATGTGAAGTTAGTTGAAAAAAAATTAAGACAAAAAAGCTAGAAAAAGAGAAGACTAAAAACTAATATATTTGTTCACCCCTATAGTACCCCCTCTAACTTAATTAAAATAGAAGAATATGTTCAATAGACTCTTTTGAAAAATTCATTTAGACTCCTAAGAGTTTTTAAATACACATTTACCTAGGCAGGAATTATGTGTGCCCTGTTCTATTAGAGATGTAATTTATTGTAGAAATCCTTCTGTAAAATTTTATTTCTCCAAAATGAACTACAAAGAATGTTTGGTTGATAGTCTGTTCTCAGACTAATTTCAGCAGTCCTTCAAAAGAGACCATGTCAAAACTATGGACAGATCTCTCCAATCCTTGGCAACATGTTGTGATAGCAAAAGGAAGAAAAATGGAACAACATCCAAGCAAAACAGGAAAAAAAGGTTGGCAAAGAGAAAGACCATCATTCGCATCTTGATTCTGCCCATCACAGAGGTTTATGTTTTAGGATTTGTCTGCAACAGAATGCCAGAATTATCAATCTTAAATATATAATTAACAATTGAAAATGTAGCATTCATTTTTATGAAACAGAATTTAAAAGTGGTTTTATATACATTGCCATTTTTTACAGAATTTGGTAACAAGTTTATATGTAATTTTTTACATACTGAAAAAAATCATAGAAACCAAAAAAGATGCAGAGAAGGATAATAAGGAAATATAAATCTTTTAAGAAGAAATGAGAGGAAGTGGGTATGTCTGACGTTGAAAAGTCTGAGGGGGAAATTTAAAAGCATTTTTTAAATATCTGAATGGCTATCACAAATAGAGTGCTGGATATGGTGTAATGGTCTTAATTTGTCAGAAGATAGATTCCAGTTGAATGTTATAAAAAGTAAGTACAGTTCAACAGTGGAATCATGTGCTATGGGGAAATATGTATGTCTGTTGAAAGATATTTTCACAAAGTACATATATCATTTTGTGTCTGCATGTGGTTTATTTAAAATTTCCCTGCTAATACACTGCTCTACCTTTTGGGCATAAGTTTATGTCCTAAAGGTTAAATCCTAATATTATACCTGTATCCACAAACCGGTGGTTGGTAAAAAACCCCGCACAAAAAATAATATTTTCTAAATTACATCTCATTTGTTACATTACAATACATAAAATACTGTTTAGATCTAATCTAACACATATATTATAGTTATAAAAATGTTTTCTGCTGAACATGGTTCTAAACATGAAATTAGTCCTTGCTTAATGTCCATTCATTTAGCAACTGTTCAAAGTTACAGCACTGCTGAAAAAAAAATATGACTGGTTCTCACATTTGCAATCGTCGCAACATTTCTGCAGTCACATGATTGTGATTCAGATGCCTGCTAATCATTGCACATTTATGATGGTTGCAACATCCTGCAGTCACATGATCACCATCTGCAACTTTCCCTGCAGTTTATTTCTAACAAAGTCAGTGAAGAAGCCGGCATTGAAGGTCTCAAGCCATAGTCATGTGATATCTTGCTTGATAACCATGGTGATTCACTTAACCATGTAAAAATGGTGGTAAAATTGGATGTAGATATGTGATGCTTTGCTTAGTGAAAGCAATGCTTAACAACACATTTTCCAGTCCCTATTATAGTTGTAAATTGAGAACTACCTATGGATTAACTAAAATATTTCCTGAAAAAACAATGGTGTTATTACAGAGCAGCTACAGGTCCTACGTTTTCACAATTCTTGATATCCAAGAAAATTCAATAAGATTATAAAATTAAAATGATATAACAGAATATGCAACATAACATACAGCTAGACGTTCTGGCTGAAATCTGTGAACACTTTGCAGAGTACTGGGTCAATTGTTCTTGTTTCTGCCAAAAGTGAATTTCTTTATAACAAAAAGAACCATTTGGAATCCATTTAGAGATTCACTTATGCACAACTGTTCTTTCTGCTCATCTCTGGAATTAAGTGCTAGAGCACAGAGCTTCCAAATAAATAAGTTTGTTGAATCCTAGATATCGTATCTGTTGTCTTTTCCTTAAATTCAGAAGTACAGTCTTTGCTGAATCTCAGTTTAAGCTGTCTTTGTGGATACTCCGCTCTGTATTGTGATTATTCAGTTCATTAGTTTTCCACTGAATGCTGGTCCCATTCATGGGGACAGAGGACATCTGACTTCCTGTCCGGTGACAAATACAGCAGAGGCATGACTGGCAAGAAAAAAAATTCCAAACATTACTGGTTTGTTTGTTGGTTAATTTATTTTAATGAAGGCTCACTTTCAGTGGAGAGCAGAATTCTCCAAATTGTAGAAAGCCTGAGTAAATTACACTTCAGAAATGGAGAAACATATAGTAACCATAAAATACAGGGTAAATTTACTCTTAAGCATACCTAATTTCTTGCTAAACTGTGATTAATATGTAGTTAAATGTAAACAGATAAGAAAAATGTATTTCTTTTGTTTCATTGTTCCACACTTTCAGCTTAACTAGACTACAAAACTTTGAAACTTAGAAAAGAGATTTGAAATTAATGGAATAATATAGCTCTCTTAACAGGGGTTGTTAGAAACCGATATGATTTGTATTTCAGCTAATTCTCTCTTCTCTTAAAAACAAGAATTGGACTAAATTATGAAAGAAGTGGCAACAGCTTCTTTCCAAGTTATGCTGAGTTTAGTACAATATAATAATTCTTGAGCTTCTATCATTCTGGCACTTTTTGACTAGCTCTGAAGTGATCCCCTCCCCATTGGGAACCTTCCATTGATAATTGTCGTTTCCATCTGAACTGTAGTGTGAAGTAAAGAAACTCAAGTTTTTAGTTCTGAGATTATGTATAATTATTGAAGATCTAAATTCAATATGTATAAATATTGAAGAACTAAATAAATCAGCCTATTTATTTTTTGTAAATAGCTGCATCATTAGTAATGACTGAAATGGCCATTGTGCTAGTAAAAATGAAACAACTTCGTCTCTTTGGGAAATAAACCTTCATATATGTCTTCATCTAATGTGTAAAACTAGACAGGCTTGTGACTAAATTTATCAAAATAATCAGATTTAATGACATCAAAATATAATAGCCCTGCTCAATGCTTTTCAAATGTATTAGAAAAAGTTCCAGAATTATCAGCCACTATGAGAAAATCCTGGAAATTCTCAAAGTTCAACATAACTGAAGGAAAGAAAGTTGGAAAAGACTGTTGTAAAACATCTACATAAATGTTCCTAAATGTTTATTTGAGCAGAAAGCAGGTTCTAAAATTTAAACATCAATATTTCAAAATATGGGATCAACTTGGAAAAGGATGAATAGTATTCTGTTCATCTTTCACATTTTGTTCTTCAATATTGTTTTTGATAGGTTTAATTTAATCTTTTTGGCTCTTACCTGGAAACAGTTTTTGAACTTCTTGCTCACAAAATAGAGCGCTATAGGATTAATGCAGGAATTGATGGTTGCTAGATTAATGCTGATATAATCCAAAGTCAACAAAAAACTAGGATCAAAAACAGAAAATGTTACAATCCTCCAATGGTGAACAAATGTTCCCCCAGCCATTATAATTTTGTGAAACTATGATGCTACAGCTGTGTCTTCTTCAAAACTATCCAGTGTCTCAGGTAAAAATAGATAACAGAATTGCAAGTGCTTAGAAGAATTAGGGCTATGAAGCACATAATTCAAATAACAAAGCATTCATAAATGAACAGAAACATAATACAAACCCTTGGGTTAGAAAGAGTAAAATTCGGGAGCCATTTAAAATATAATGTGGGTTTGACAGGAAAAATGATGGCATAACAAGAAGTTCTCGAATTACAACTGAGCTCAGAATTATGATCTAAAGTCATAAAGTCTAAAGTGGTTGATAAGCAGGTTATGTGATCGCATCCAATTTTATGATCTTTTTTGCAGTGGTTGTTAGGTGAGCACTACAGATGCTAAGTAAATGTCGCAGTCACTAAGCAAACGATGCAGTCATCAAGCAAACACAGTGATGGTTAAGCAAACCCACAATGGGCTTTTTTAATGACAAAATAGAAGTAAATGCCAGCTTGCAGGAAAAAAACATTGTAAATTGTAGTCATGTGACCACTGAATGCTGCAAAAAGCTGTAAATACGGAACAGTTGTCAAGCACCAAAATACAATCATACAATGGCGGGGTGGAGGATGGCCATCAAAACTAGATTGTAAATACCTTTTGGTTGGTTCATTGAAATTTTGAACCGTTGCTAAGTGCCTGTTCATAAGTAAATACTATCTTATTGTTTATAATTAAGATAATTAAGAAGACAGAGACCTAAAGATTACTTTCTTTCTAATTATTTGGGAATAGGCTCAATAGAGGTTATTTATAAGATTGCCTGGATAATTCTTGGAATAGTTGGAAGACAACTGTCTTTTAACCTGCTTCAAAAACAGGTAACATAATATTACAAAGCCAAGGTGCATAACCTAGACCACGGGTCGGCAACCTGTGGCTCCGGAGCCGCATGCGGCTCTTTCAGCTTCTACTGCAGCTCCCATTTGTAGAGAGGGAGAGACAGAGACAGAGCACTTGCGCTTCTCTCTCTCTCTCTCTCTTCATGCGGGCTTGCAGCCTTGCAGGGCTCCTGATTGGCCCTCACCTGGGCACCCCTCCCCCTGGGAGAAGCTCAGCCAGGAAGTCTCTTTCCTGGGCTGGCCCCATCCCCATGTGGCCGGGGAGCTGCGCGAGGCAGCCCTGGGATCCCCCCTGGGAGTGGTCCGCCGGAGCCTCCGCTGAGTGGGCCAGCCCTCCCGCAAGCCGCAGCCCCAAGGGAACACAGCCCCTGCGATCTCCAACCAGTGCTACTGTTGGCCCCGCTGGCCAGGAAGGTGCACCAGAGTCCCGGCTGCCGACAAGGTGATTGGCCCGCTTCTCTCCCATCACCTGCTCTGCCCGGTTCGAGCCTGGCTGGAGCAGTGTTGGTACTTCCAAAGGTGGCTGCTTCAACGTTACATGGGCAGCCCTCGGCCATTCCCCTCCCCTCTGCACCTCCAAATTGATCCCTGGGCTGCCGCCTGTGACCCCCAACGATCTCCAACTGGCTCCTTTGGCGAAGCAGCTCTGGGCAAACGGGCTGCATTTCTATTTGCTTGGGCCTGCAGCTTTGAAATGCAGGTGACTGGCCCCCCAGTGATAAGCATCTGTCAATTTCCCAAGGGCTGCCTACTGGAAAAGGAGAAACAACTCAGGGGCGACCCCCCACCTTAGGGGCTAGCTTGGCTGCAACTTTTCTGCCCTGCAGCCTTTAGTCAAACATGCTGCCAGTGGCTCACAATGGATTGGTCAAACCCAGCAGGTAGCTCTGGAAGGCTCAGGAGCAAAAAGAGGGAGGGGAACAGTGAGAGAAAAAATGGCCACCCCCATCCTCACCTTCCCGCAAGATACACTCCCCATTTCCAGGACCTCAGACCTGTGTGGCCCTCCCTCAAGGCATGAGGATGGACAGACATTTTAAGAAATCTTTTTATTTACAAAGCGGGTGGGGAACAGACACATGGAATGTGGGATGAAGGATGAGTGGTCAGGAACTGCTTGGCATCCCAGGATGAAGAAAAAATCAACCTGGAATCAGGAAGAGGTAAACAATCTGTCCCTATTGCTGGGTTTTCCCCGCATGCAGAATCCAGGGCACGGCTTACATTGGTGGCCTCCCCTTTAGGTGGTGACACACTCGATGCAGAAAAGGAGGGTCCCAGGCACAGAGCAGCTTCCTTTGCTGCCCCCTGGCTTCTAGAGTGCAAGGACTTTGTGCCAAGTTAGACCACAAGGAAATTGCAAGCTTTGCTCTGTGAGCAAGATTCCAATCCTCCCTGCTGCTGAGAGGCCACGTGGGCTGCCAACCTCCATGCCAGGGGCAAGAAACATGACTACAGTTCTGACTTGCACTGCAGATACATGGAAATGCGCTGTGTAAACCAGTGTTGCCCAATCTTGGCAAATTTAAGACCTGTGGACTTCAATTCCCAGAATTCCTCAGCCAGCATGGTTTTCATGACATTTCACGACCCAACTAGGTAACATCATTCATACTAATGGCTGGCTGCGGAAACGCAGCAAGGGCAGGAGAGGAGCACCGGTATAAAGCCAGCCCAATAAGAATGTCCGTGGTATGTCAGCTTGTCAGAGAAGAGCGTGAGGCCGGCTGGCCAGGTGAGCAGAAGATCAGAGAGAGAGAAAGAGGAGAGGGAGGGAGGGAGGGAGGGAGGGAGGGAGGGAGAGAGAGAGAGAGAGAGAGAGAGAGAGAGAGAGAGAGAGAGAGAGAGAGAGAGAGAGAGAAAGAGAATATGAATATATGTGGTTGTCCTTACTGGACTTTTAGTAAAGAACGTTTAATGAAATATTTTGATTTTTTTTTTAATTGAGAGATGAGGTATGGGGATAAGTATGCTGTATTTAAAGATGGTAGATAAGCTACTAAAATTATTTTTACCTGTTGGGATGAAGGAGAAAGGTTTTTTTGCCCCTCTTTCTCCTGTCCTTTTCTCCCCCCTCCCCGCAATTTTTTTCTTTTCTATTTTTCTATTTGTAGTTTTTATAGTTTGCACCGGCTTTTTATTTCATAAAAACGAGGAAGACTCAAATAGACATTGAGTATTTTATTTGAAAGTAACCTTCGACCCAGCATCTTTTTTTTGGGGAGTTCAAAATGTTTTTGTTGCATGCAGAAATAAAAATTTGTTTTCTTTGTAGCAGTTCATTGATTTCATAAATGCAACACCCTATAGTTTTTTTATACATAGCATAAAGGTAAAAAACGATATATGCAGTGTTATCTTCATTTTAGATATCAAAAGGGTTTTGTGGCTCCCAGTGTTTTCTTTTCTGTGGGAAATGGGTCCAAATGGCTCTTTGAGTGTTTAAGGTTCCTGACCCCTGACCTAGCCCCATAGGTTGCCTGTGGCCCCCTAATTCTTGGGAACACCACTCTTTAGCTCTATCCCAAATAGCTACTGAATTTTAATGTGTAATGTTGAAGAAGGGTTAAGTTATTAAATATATTGCATTAATGGTATAATTAATGTATTGTAGTTTAATTACATTTATATTTAATTCAAGTTTAATTTTTGTCCTGGCCTTCCCCACCTTTTGTAAAATGGTCCCAGCATATTACTTAAAAATCAAATGGAACTGCAATCTCCCAAGAAATTGAACACCCTATTTAAGGAGAAAGTGGAGATAAACTAGAAGAAAGACAGAACAGTCATGTTTACTCTTATATTAATGAATTTATGTTATTAAAATTATGCAGTATATCATTAATGAAAAATTAACCACAAAAAAACCCACCATAACCTATTTTTAACAGTAAGGAAAAGACCTTTGAAGACATTTTTGAGTCTCTGGGCTAAGTATCAAAGTCTCCACTCTTTGGCTGTCTAAACCAGAGCTTTTCAACTGGTGATACGGTGGTGCATTGGCACCTGGCAGCTTGTATGCAGCCCTGCCCAGCCTAGCCAAGTATAGTGGGGGAGGGAATGAGCCAAAGCGGCACAGCGCAGGACTTGCCATGAGAGAATCCTCAGGAACTGCAGGGCTGCTGGGGCGAGACAAAGGATTGGCACTTCCGGCATAGCCAAAAGAGAAAGGACGAGGAGGGGGGCGGAGACAGGAAGGGATATAAAAGGAGGCAGTTTTGACGCAAGAGGGAGAGAAAAAAAGACGCCAGAGAAAGAAGCAGAAGAGAAAAGGCTTTTATCAGAGAAGCGGTGTGTGTGTGTGTGTGTGTGTGTGTGTGTGTGTGAGAGAGAGAGAGAGAGAGAGAGAGAGAGAGGAGGGTGGAAAGACTTTTGGAGAGGCGTTTGCATGAGAATGGGGAGGATTTTGGAGGGAGAAGGAAGGAGATGCGAATGAGAAAGAGGGAGGGAGGGAGGGAAGGAGCCTAACCCTAACTCTAAACCCCTCCACTGGAGACCTTTGGATCCCCCCCAGACCTCCCAACCTGAGCGACATAGAGCTGGTCACACAGCCCCACTCCCCCTCCGACAGTAACCACAATGCTGATGTGGCCCTCAATGAAATCAAGTTTGACACCCCTGATACAACAGAACAAGGGGGGGGGGAGAGAAGATGATATAAAAGGAGGGGGAGAGAGGAGAGGATATAAAAGGTGGAGGGGCGAGAAATTTGTTAAATGAGATTTGCCCCATTTTATGACTTTTCTAGCCACATTTGTTAAGTGAATCACTGCAGTTGTTAAATTAGTAACATGGTGGTGAAGTGAATCTGGTTTCCCCATTACTTTGCTTGTCAAAACGTTGCAAAAGGGGATCACGTGACATCGGGACACTGCAACTGTCATAAATATGAATCAGTTGCCAAAACATGCAAATGTAAATCACATGACCCTGCAATGGTCATGACCCCTGCAACGGGATGCTACAATGGTCATAAGTGTGAAAAATGGTCATAAGTCACTTTTTTCAGTGCCATTGTAACTTTGAACAGTTACTAAGCGAACTGTTGTAAGTCGAGGACTACCTGTACTTTATCACTTTTTTCCTTTTTTTTTTTTTTTTTGGTCATCAAGTTTTTGACACTTTGCTAGGCTACTGGTGATATTCGAATATTGCCATATCCTAAAAGTGTACAATCGGTGAAAAGGTTGAAAAGCCTTGGTCTAAAGATACAAAAAAAAGCAAAGAAAAAGAAAACAAATCTTGATATACAAAGGTAAATTACAACTGTGGCTCCTGGTTGGGTTGTACTTTCCTTGAAAAAGCTATTGAGCTAGTTGTGTTTATCCTGGATTCATGGCTCTGATAAGTGCAATCACTGAAGACTGGCCAGAAGAGCCTTTGACCAGGTTGGATGTGCATAGTTGTGACTCTTCTGGAACAGAAGTACTGACTATAGTGAGTCACATTCCTATCATTTGCTGGTTAGACTATTTAACCTTACACAGGATGCCCTTAAGTTTTAGGGATGTCCCAAACTTATAGTTGTCATTGAACACAGAGGCCTGCTTGCAGTCCGGTGGAAGCTGGTTCAGTACACTGCACCTATGCTGCAAAAACTGCTTTGATTGCCTACAAATCTTTGGGCTCAATTAAAGATGATGGTCAGTATCTATAAGGCTCTTTTTTGCTCAATTCTTTGTTGCTTTGGGAACATCTATTTCAGGTGGCTTCTGCTCATTCTATATGTGTTAGCTAAGGAGTAGTTCAGATGTTCATTCCTTCAAGAATGGGGACAACTCATACTCCATGACCTGTTTAATTGCAGCCCCTTCACTTAGGAGCTATTTGCTCCCAGAAGTGAAGATGGCTTTCACCTAGAATTTAGTAAAGCAATAAAAACAGTGCTTTTCTGCAGGTCCTTGAGAGAGGAGAACCTTAAACAAGGCAACCAACAGTATCTTGGGGCAGCTGTTAACTGCTAAGGAACATTATGTTTTATGTTGATTAAATGGTCATGTTTTTATTATCACAAACTGTACAGAATTCATTAGTAAGCAGCATATAAATACTTGTATAAAATATAAATAATAAATGTTATGTATTCATGTTAACTCACTTATTGTGTTGCTGCATTCATCTATCATCAAATTATTTAATATCATACATTAAAATAATACCTGAGGAATTCACATCTATTGGGGTCTTTGTCGTTATACAGCATTGATCTCAGTATCTGGCTTAGATGCAGAGGAAACCAGCAGAGAGCAAAAATTACAACTAAACAGAAAACTGTTTTAGCAACTTCTCGGCGCTATGGGGGAAAAAAAGACAATGATCTGCAATGAGTTTCAACATAATTTAACATAATTTAACATACCAACATTTCAAAATAAGAAATATCAAAGTGGTTAGTAATCAGATTGTATCCACATGCTTTTAAAAAGCTGTATTATTTCATCAAAACTTAAAAAATATGGCAAGATACAACAATACCAAATGTTATAAGTTATCAAATTTTGTGATACTGTAGTCTCCGAGCACTTAAAACAGAATTAATCTTTTTCATCAACTTGATATTCAGGAATTTGGTTTAAATAATACAATTAAACTAAAGTTAAATTGAAACCCTTGACAAATGCAGTGCTTTTATATTGATAGAATGATGAAAAATCAAAATAAAGAATTCTCTTAGAGAAAGATGACATTTCTTGATAATGAAATATTAGGAAATTTGGTCCCTGATGTTCCCATTCAATTGACATTTTGAAGAGCTATAAAGACCTGGCTGTCCTTCCAGGCCTTAGACTATTCATTAATTTCTTTTGGTTGTTGGCATCTGCTTTGTTGGATGCCAGTTGTGGGCAGTATATTTTTTGGGGGGGGGGGAGAGACCTTGCCATTTTCACCATTTTGCTCTTCCTTTTAATTTTCTCAGTCATCTTGTTTTGTTATTCTTTGGTATACTAATGTTATACTGTTTTGGTGTATTGTGAACTGCCCAAAGTCATTTGAAGTTGATCATTATCAAATAAATGAATAAATAAATGGTTGGCAATTATAGCAGCTGAGACCCAACACCCAAAGTAGGTATTAGATCAAAAAAGATTTTTAGTGAACAAAAATTCCATGTAGGAAATAATTTGAACTCTGTAACAGGTTACCTGCATTAATTGCTTGCACTCTTAATTGTCCTAATGTTCTGATTGCCCAACTATACTAAGTCAAAACACATTTTTCTGTTCTCAGAATGAATATTGATGATATCAAAAGTTTACAGGATAAAACTTTTGTGACAGTGACTGGAAACGCATGTCAAAACTGTTTTCTCCTTACCTGCTTAAGATGTTCACTGAGAGCAATTCTCAAATTACTCTTCCTCCTGTTTAACATTTCACAGGTCATCAGGGTATAAAAGAATGCTGTGCAAGCAAGTGGCATGCAGAAATAGAAACCAAAGAGCCACCACTCTTTTACTTTAATGTATAACTGCAAAGACATCAAACATGACAGGTTGTGGCTAAGTAACTTGCAGTACCATTCTATAATTTCCATAGAATATACGGCTACATTCTTTACCAGCTTTCTCAACTAGAAGCTTCCAAAACTGTGGATTTCAAGTCTCAAGATTTAGACCAATGACTATCCTGTTTGAACATATTTAGCTGATTCTCACTTCTGGAGAGTGCCAAATTGAGAAATTGTTCTACCCTAGGGGTGGAACCATAGCTCCTTTATGACTTCTGGACTTCAATTCTCAGGGAAATAAAGTCCACATGTCATAAAAAGGCTATCATTCCCCACCTGTGTTCTACACAGAAGAGTAACTGGCATAAATATGACCAATTAGAAACTATCTAGGAAAATATCTCTATTTTTGCCATTGATTTGAAAAGACCATCTCACAACAAATCACAACAATCAGGATTGATTTAAGACATTCTGCTGCCTGAAATGCTACATATTTCTCCTGTTTCTAAATAAATGAGCTTTGACCAGTCATATCAGCAGAATTATCTCAGAAAAGTTGTTGAACATTTAGCACCTGGATGATAGCAGAATACACATGCACTAAACGTACATTTTTGCATATGTTTGAATTTTTCTAATATATATGTCATAAACAAAATGGAATAATGAGAATGTGATTTAATTTGAAGTAATAATGGAATTAAGTTGCATTATTTACTGGTTCATAATACATCTCCCTAACACATTTTCCGAACTTATTTGGAATAGAAAGGCTAACAACATTTCTGCATAAAAAAGCAGCCCAACACAAAACAATGTCTATTTAGAATTAAAGCTACTGAAGCTATTGAATGCATCAAAGCTACTTCTACTGGTAAATTACTCTTTGTTGGGGTAGAAGCTTACAATTCAAAGATTTGAATATCTTTTTTAAAAGTCTCACTATATTCAGAAAATATTTGCTCCAAAATAGCTATAAATAGAGGTGAAAGCAAATCTTTATCCCACTATTCCTTTTTGGTAATTGCACAATCTTTAATACCCCCCCCCCCAGACATAATACACACATACACATTCTATCCATACACACTAACATAGGCAACCAGATCACTGCATCAGCAGAATACATAGCATTGGACTATATTTTTAGTCCAACTACATTTTAGTCCCTGCTTTCCAGTAACATACTTTATTGTTAATTTGCATGAAAGATCCAGTGTAATCTATTGATTAAGGGTGTTAGATTTGGACCGGAAAGTTCTAAATTTAGGTCCTAATTAACCATTAATTAACAATTAATTAACCAATTAACCATTTTCTCAGTTCAGCCTATCTACAGGGCTTTTGTGAGAATAAAATTAGTGGAAATTCTCCAGATCTGACATCTTGAACTCCCAGAGGAAAAAAAAGTGGGCCACAAATATAATAATTAAATAATTAACTAAAGAAAGTTCAGCCAGAATCAAATTTCCATTCCTACATTAAAGTCAAATGATGACTGTTAAGGCTTCAATGGGTAATTTTAAGCAATGTTAACTTAGATAACTTTTCTATTTCATGACTATTCTCCAGAGCACCTGTAGGGAGAACAAGAAGCAACAAATGGAAACAAACCAAAGAGAGAAGCAACCTAGAACTAAGAAATTTCCTGACAGTTAGAACAATTAATCTGTGGAACAATCTGCTTCCAGAAGTTGTGAATGTTCCAACACTGGAAGTTTTTAAGAAGCAACTGGACAGCCATTTGTCTGAAATGGTATAGGGTTTCCTGCCTGAGCAGGGGGTTGGACTAGAAAACCTCCAAGATCCCTTTCAACTTTATTATTATTAAAATTTAAAAAGATACAGTGATATGCTTTTGATATGCTATTGCTCAAGAACAACTCCACTACAGTTTTGTTTTCTCTATTTTTAACCACAATTATTCTTAAATATGATAAGACCAACGAATACGAGCTCATTGCCTACAACTATGATTTCATCAGAAAACTAACTGTGAGGAAGAGACTGCTGTATACTTTATTGAGATAGTCTTTAGTAACAAAGTCTTGCAGGTTTGCTTCAATCTTCCTTTCCCTCCCTCTTGAACTCCAGGGAGTCAGCGGGTCTAGCCTAACTCTCTTTGTATTTTGCCTATCTGGACATAACACATATTTTTTTCTTCACCTACTTGCCTCATGTTCTCTGGACTCCTCCAAGGTCACCTTCCTGGCTCCCCTGACTAGGACATTCCTTCTCCAGACAAATGAACATCCTGTACAGACATGCATAAGTAGTCTTATAACTGTAATTTCTTTAGATGAACTGAGTGGCTGGATTCATATAATGTGCTAAGTCCTAACCTGGTTGCTTTTGGTTTATCATGTACTCACTCATTATTTGTCATGTATAAACTAGGCTGGACAATGCTTAAACAATCCCATTCTATGTTTTATGTGGAGGCCACCTGTGAAAAATAATGTTAAGTGCCATTCCTGCAGTTATCTTAGTCTCTGAACTGCTATATAATTTGGATTTATATGCAAACAACTGTGATCTCTGCTATTTCTTAACCCAGGGAACCTATAATCCTCCAGATGTTGTAGAATTAAAACACTCAGTAGTTTCTACACAGCAGAGCAGATGACTGGGTGCAATACAACATACCCCTATCTCACCTTAAGTATCTTCTCATATAAACAAAAGAAGAAATAAACTAAAACCAAAACACAGAGTGTGGACCAGGCTGAATTGGTAAGAGATGTATAAGGAAGGTGTTTAATCAGCCTATTGAGTCTCTTGAGAAAGGAAGAAGGTAGGAAAAAATAAGAGAATTCTCTTACAGAGAATAAGAGCACTTAGATTCTGATCTGTCTTCCGTCTTTCTGTATGTGTTGTGCTTATTGGTGGATAGCATTGTATTATCAAAACTGATTTAAATCCCAGTGATTAAATACCTCCTATCTGTATATTAAAATCAAAGAGCACCAGGAGTCATGTGAATTGCCTGTCTAACAGAAAGTCTGGCCTGTTACCTTTTAAGGCGTTTAAGAATGACTTTGATTCCAAGAGGTCCAGGTTAAGAATGTCTTCTATGTATAATTGGGCCCTGCTATCAGCTGAAAGATTAAGTGTCTTGCTTATATGTCCAGCAAAAAGAGGCCACTTAACATGTCTTAGTCTGGAAAATGTGGAGTACAGCCTGCTTTTTCCAGTTACTCTGATTCTCTAGTTGTTTTAACCCCCTGCCTGGAATGTAACCCTTTGCATGGTATGCTGATCATGTGCAGGAAGAAAGAATCGGTGGTCTGAGTAAATATCAGTCTTGCCTATATGCATTTTCTGTTCATTTCTATATATAAGTAGCAGGAACACAGACAAAAACATACACTTATATGTCAGGTGAAACCGCTCTTATTCCTAATTATTTGTTATGAGTTGGATTGGTATCTAGGGGATTCTTTGTTCCCATCTCCTTTTCATTTAGTTGTTTATTCTGATGCTATTTTCCATATGAGAATATCATTACGCAAATAACTATGTTTGGCTCTTTGTAGTCAGAATTCAGCTATTTTGTTTATGCATAACTAACCAGAAAAGCTAACTTTGGAATTAGATTAAACCTTTATTGTGATTAATATACTCTTAATAAATGGTGCTTTACTTTTTCTCATTTATAGGCATTGTTTCCATGTGAAGTAAGCACACAAAAATAGGATTTCCCCCCTTTCTTTCCTTACCAGATCCTGCTATATGTATTAAAGCTAAAGTTTATAAAGTTCCCAACCAACATAGTCTTTCTGACAAGTGATGCTATTGAGAATGCTATTAAGAATGCCTCTGAGACAATTTTAGTTAGCTAAATGTAGCAACAATAGAACTAAAGGCAATTTTAATGGCATGCTTCTTATTAAAAGTAGGCAAAGTTAGCATAAATGTGATCCAAATGGATTCTCCTAACAAGGCTCTTTGATCTAGATTTCACAAATTGATACAACATCTACATGAGTTGCACCAATGTAAGTCTAGCAGAGTGGGCTGCTCCTGAAGTTCCTTCAACCGAGCACTGTATCCAGTACATATGTAGAGGAGATATCCTTATAACAGATGATAACAGAACATCTTCAAGACAGATTTTGGATACTCTTATGCAAGCACACATTGAATATGCCTTCATAACTGGAAATGGCAAGATATGCAATCCAAAATTGTATTAGACTAATTCATCACACTGGTTCTTTTAATTTATCTCTTCCTGTTAACTTGATCTGCAGATTAACGTGTACAGCAAATGATCAGTGTTAATGGTTAAAATGGCTGCTGGGTCTTTTTCTGCAGCTAAACTGCACAACAGCCTGTCCGCTGTTATTCAAATTGTTTTTGCATACAAAGTTAGTACTATTCTTAGTGCTATTCTGAAATAGCACTATGCCCGTCTTAAAAGAACACAACTATCAGCTGACTGCAGCCATGCAAAGTACTTGCACAAAATATAAGAAGTTTTACAATGGCTACAATGATGGGTCCTTTTCAACTTTTATATTAAGGTACCTTACACAAGGCCAAATGGATCTCTCTTTTCTACTATTATTTGAAAGGCAGCAGTTCAAAACTTAGTCATTTCCAGCCATAAATTTATGATGCTCTTTATAATAAAAATTCCAGGAGGATAGAACCCAAGGCTTTTAGATAATTAAATGACTCAATCGGAAGACTCCCAGGATGAAAAATCTGAAGATTTTTACAAACAAAAGGATAAATAGTTTTTTTCCCAAAAAGGCACATCTTGCTAGAGAAAAATTAATGCTAAAAAGATGAAAAATTAATCTTATTTAGCATTTAAAATGTGAGATTTTGAAGTTAAGAAGTAAACCGAGATGTCTTCAAATTATAAATTAAAGCTGTTAAAACTTACATAGATTTTACAATAAACCAATGTTGTACTTTGATATAAGAGGCATAGGTATCCTTTTATCTACAGCAGAGGTCCCCAGTTCTAGCAGCTTTAAGACCTGTGGACTTCAACTCCCAGAATTCCCCAGCAGCAGTTGAAGTCCACAAGTCTTAAAGTTGCCAAGGTTGGTGAGCCCTGGTCTACAGTACGTAAGTCCACATGAAACTAGTTTTCTCCTGGAAATATGCCTTTTCCCATGTTGCCTAAGGCATTTGGCCTTTTGGGATTTAGATTCTAGGATAGTGGTTCTCAACCTGTGGGTCGGGACCCCATTTGGGGTCAAACGACCATTTCACGGGGGTCGCCAAACAACGCAGTCCGCCATTTTTCCCCCCTTTTCCTTAGCTGTGCTACTCCCTTTTATTCTATTGGCTTTTGAAAGCCAATAGAATAGACTCTCTTGAATAGAGTCTAATTCTATTGGCTTTCAAAAGCCAATAGGAATTGTCCAGGCTGTCTCTGCCCTGCTGAGCCCGCCAAAAGTCCCATTCTGCAAACGGTGCTGCACCAGTTGAGTAGTCCTCAACTTACGACCGGTTGAGTAGTCCTCGACTTACGACCAGTTGGGGATCGCAGCATTAAAAAGGACAAATATTGGAAAAGTGGACTTAAAAAATAATGAAATGTTTTCTAAGAAAACACAAAAGAATCATGAAAAACTATTACGTTTTATTGATATTAACCTGCACAATTTATTCAAAGATTTGCTATAAAATATATGAAGAGGTTTTAGCCTTAATTCCTCCTTTTAGTGCCTTAATTCATGTATTTAAAATCCTCTTTGACTTGCTTCAGCTTGGCTGGCTGAGAAATTCTGGGAATTGAATTCCACAAGTCTTAAAGTTGCGAAGGTTGGGGACCTCTAGTTTAGACACATCTCTCTGTGTGTATTTTATTGTCTCCAAAATCCACAAGAAAAGATAATTCTTTGCAGTCTAGGGCATCTCTTAATATAACTTTGAATGTGTTTGGAAAGGTAAGAGAACTAGCTATTTTTCCTAAGTCAAAATGGGAAGGATTTGACAAATCATAAGCAGTCATAGTTATCTTTTCTGTAGTGCTTTGTTTTGTTAAAACTTCCAACAGCTATAAGAGGAATGCCAGAGGAAGAAACTATTTAACTATTTCTAGCTGGTTCTTCCACGTACTCCCTCTTACTGCTTCTTTTTTTATGGAAGAGATGAGATTATGGTCCATTCAGAAATGGGATGAGGGAATAGTCAGAAAACTAAAGCTCCCACTTTAGGGAGCTTTATTCTTTTATGTAAGGTATCAGGGATTCAGGAAAAAATAGAAAAAGTATCTAAAACAACAGGTATGTTTTCATAAGGAGTTACTGAAATATAGCTTGACAACTGAAGAGATGAAAACCTTGTCCTTTGTTGAGTTAATCCAGGGGTAGGCAACCTTGGCTCTTTTATGACTCCTGGACTTCAACTCCCAGAATTCCTGAGCCAGCATGACTGGCTCAGGAATTCTGGGAGTTGAAGTCCAGGAGTCATAAAAGAGCCAAGGTTGCCTACCCCTGAGTTAATCTATCCATCTTTAAGTTGGCAAACTGCCAGCTTTAAAGTTATTGTCCTTGCCAGATGCTGCTCTGCCTTTACAGAATCTGTGTTGCTAAATCAATTATACATATACAGGCAGTCCTCGACTTAAAACCATTCATTTAGTGACTATTCAAAGTTATAACAGCACTGTGACTTATGACCAGTTTGATACTTATGACCACTGCAGCATCGCCATGGTCACGTGATCAAAAGGAGGTGTTGCAACTGGCATTATTTATGACGGTTGCACTGCCCAGGGGTCATGCGATCATCATTTGAAACCTTCCAGTCAGCCTCTGACAAGCACAGCTAACAGGGAAGTCAGATTCATGTCACGATGGCATGATTCACTTAACAAAGGTGGCAAAAAAGGTAATAAAATAAGGCAAACCTCACTTAAAAACAATTTTTGGACTTGACTATGCTCATAACTTGAAGACTACCTTTATATGTCCAGCAAAGAGAATGTTTAAGCCTTCCAATTTGACTGCCCTCTCTTTTTAGCACATCCTAGCTTGCAGAAAAAAAAATTACTTACAACTATGACACTATAACAGGAGCTGGGCAGGTCCAATTGTAAAACTCTGCCTCCTTCTATCTATATTATATTTCATTCTGTCTCTACTATACTTCATTGTATCATAACCTGAGCTGAATAAAGATAGATGGATGGATGGATGGATGGATGGATGGATGGATGGATGGACGGACTGACTGACAGACGGACAGACAGACAAAGATACATGAGTCACCAACAGCATATTTTCAATACATAGGCCACAAATGCTTCATTTCAAATTCCTACATATTATTTTCAGAAAGCAAAGGGGTGGGGGGAGAGTTACTTCCACCATTTTAGTGTTCTGCTATTTCAGCCTGTTCTACAATTTGATTCCATTGTTTCAGAGTTCCAGTTACAGCCCTGTGATACAAATAATAAGGGCCCCAAAGTTAAGGATCAAGTCAAAGGTTGCAAACTCAGGAATCTACACTTATTACATTACACCTAATAGATTACTGGACCATTATATCTAACTCTTGAGAGAATCACCAGTGAAATTATGGCAAACCAGAAATCAATGTATAGAGACTATGAGTCCACATCAGCCTGACACAGCCGATAAACACTACAACAACCTCACACATTTATAGACACTTGATCTTATCTAATCTGCAATTGCTCTTGGATGTTGTCAGCTCAAGGAGAAAAACTTTAATGTTGGTACAGCTATGAATGATTTAACACTTTCTGAGTCATAGCGTATATACATATATATATATATATTTCCTAGATTTTTGCAACTCTGTTCAAGAGAATTGTTATCCATACTGATCAACCAAATGCCTTTGGAATACTCACAAGCAGAAAATAAAGGAAACATTCCTTCTTATATGGTTGTTCTTCTGCAAATAGTATTTGGAGGCATAGCTATCTGGTAAGTTTGGGCCAGTCACTCTGTTTCAGCCCTAGAAATAAGGCAAGGGCAAATGACCCCTCAAAATCTTACTCCACAAAATGCAGGGGCTACTCCACACAATTGTCTGGAGTCAGTACTGAGTCAAAGGCACACATACGCACACACACCTATCTGAAACTGATATTTGGGGCATACCACCTACCAATCCATAAGTAACACTGAACTTTCAAGACTAATAGTCTTTGATAAATTTGTTTTTTATCATCCCCCCACCTTTTACTTACACTTTTTCTTAATTCTAATTCTTTAAATTAGGATTGTTACTGATTAAAAGACAAACAATAATCACAACAAAATTGTTTTGCATAGCTGATATAGTAACGTACTTCCAAGAACTTGTTGCTTGCTACTAGCAAACAGGTTTTGAGCCGTTTTTCATTATAAACAAAATCAACACTGGTGAAACCAATTGCTTCTGGAATAGCCAGGATGAAGGAAAGAATCCAAATACAAAAAATTTCAATAGCTGTAGTCAAAGGGACACCAATTCCCTGGACACGACTCCAGGAAGCAACTGCTCGGTATCTAAAATAAACAGAGAAATTTATATTATCAGCTTCAGCTCTTTATAAAAGTTTTCAAGACAGGCATAATACATTAACAGGCACATTTTAAGATTCTTCAAATATGTGCTAGTAACAAAAAATTGGTGAAAATACATAGTTGACAAGGTAGTCAAGAATGAGCAGATTAAAAATATGGTGGGATTTCTGAATACAAACTGATAAAGTCTTGTCTCATAATAGACCAGATTTAAGGTTGGTTGAAAAGAAGAAAATGTAGATAATTGATATGGGAATACTAGGAGATCATAGAAGACAAAAATTGGACAAGATTATCAAATCTGAAAATCAAAGTTGGCATAAACCAGCCATGATGGTCCCAGTGGTTATTGGCATTCTGGGTGCCATACAAAAAAAAAACACAGACAGCATTAATGAAATTTCCATCTGTAAATTGCAAAAGGCCACCCTGATTGACTCCTCATATGTACTATGTTGATATATTATGATATCCTAGGTTCCAGGGAAGAACTTGATGCACGTTGTTAAGAACTGGCAGCTATGATTTTACATTGTCAGGTATATATAATAATAAAAACCTGGAAACAGCAGAATAGAAGAGAAAGAACTAGAGAAAATGAAATACAAAGACTTGCAAATAGAGATAGAATGGCTATGACAAAAGAAAGCAAAAGTAGTACCAATAATAATAATAAATGCCTTGATAAGTTGAAAAGAAAGACAAAAAAGTCTAAATACTGAACATTGTAATACCTGGAGGGAACAGAAGAGAAGAGAATAAACTGGAGATAAATCACAAAATAGAAAGACCTGCAAATAGAAGTAGAACGACTGTGGCAAAAGAAAGCAAAACTAGTAGCAATAGTAATGGGTGCCTTGGGTCCAAACCCAAACAACTGGAGCAACACTTGAACACCATCACTATTACAAAATCACCCAGTTGCATAAGGCAGCTTTACTCAGAATACCTTATATCCTGGGACAATACCTTTAACACCATGAAACATCCACATCTGCTTATCCCAGGTCCTTGGGAAGGACTTGATAGCTTAATAAAAATGCCAAATCTAATCTAAACATATGGCTGGTTGTGCAACGGTTATACACTACCTTGACACTTCTTAGGTCCTTGGTTCATACTTGAATTATTACATTTCCACCAGTTTTAGATTGTGAATGTAACTGTAGATTACCCACAGATAATAGATCTCTAAAGTAGTTTCTTGTAACCATTTATCACCACAAGATGCACACCATCTCAAAGAGAGACATTCCAATGATAGATATTCTTTCTCTGCCTTGCCCCTGAAAGTTTAAGAAGAGAGGGCAATTTTCTTGTAGCCAGGACCAAACTTCTCACTTCCTTGGCTTTTGGCTATAAAGGATTTGACTGGTGATATCAATGATATCACTGATATGGCTACAGCTAAAACTGTAGACATTATTGAAATGTATTAATGGACAAAATGGTTGCTTTAGTCATACAAAGTCTAGTGCAGGGGTAGGCAACCCAAAACGCTCAAAGAGCCACTTGGACCCGTTTCCCACTGAAAACAAAACACTGGGAGCCACAAAACCCTTTTGATATCTAAAATGAAAATAATACTGCATATATCCTTTTTTATCTTTAATGTGTGTGTATATATATATATATATATATATATATATATATATATATATATATATATATATATATATGTGTGTGTGTGTGTGTGTGTGTGTGTGTGTGTGTGTGTGTGTGTGTGTATATATAAAATAAAGGTAAAAAATGATATATGCAGTGTTATCTTCATTTTAGATGTCAAAAGAGTCTCTCTGTCTCTCTTTCCTTTCTTTCCTCTCTCCCTTCCTTTCCTCTCTCTCTTTTCTCTTTTTTCTTTCCTCTCTTTCTCTTTCCTCTCCCTCTTTCTCTCTTTCATTTCCCTCTTTCCTCTTTTTCTCTTTCTTCTCCCCCTTTCTCTTTCCTCTCCCCCTTTCTTTCCTCTCCCTCTTTCTCTTTCCTCTTTTTCTTTCCTCTCCCCCTCTTTTTCCTCTCTTTCTTTCTTTCCTCTTCCTTTCTCTCCCTCTTTCTCTCTCTCTTTCCTGTTTCTCTTTCCTTTCTCTTTCCCTCCTTCCTCTCTCTTTTCTCTTTCTCTCTCTTTCTCTCTCTCCTCTCTCTTTTTTCTTTCCTTTTTCCTCTTTCTTCTCCCCCTCTTTCTTTCTCTTTCCTCTCCCTCTTTCCTCTCTTTTTCTCTTTCCTCTCCCCCTTTCCTCTCCCCTTTTTTCCTTTCTCTTTCTCTTTCCTCTCCCTCTCTTTCTCTCTCTTTCCTCTTTCTCTCTCTCTTTCTCTTTCCTCTCTCTCTCTTCTCTCTCTTTCTCTTTCCTCTCTCTTTCTCTCTCTCTCTGTAAAAGTAATCCTGATCTATATGATGGTATCTTATATGGCTGACACAGTAACATGAAAAGAAGGGGCACAAACTAGATGCATCTTCTGGTAATCTTAGAGGACAGTGTGATCTTTGTAAGCAATATAATCCTGCACTGAAAAGTGAGCTGAGGAACTGACTTGGGTGTTCCTGAACTATAACACCTGCTGATGGGACTTTGGGAGTTGTAGTTCAATCCTATCAGGAGGATCAAAGATTTCCTTCCCAGATATATAAGATGTTTAGAGAAGACATGGGGAAGAACATCAATAAAGCTCCCTTATGCCATTAATCTTTTGTGCAGGAGCATAGTGACTTAATGGCAATGAAATTACCCTGGTGAACTGGGAATTGCCAAAGATTATAGCTAACAATGAATTTAGCAAAGTGCCTGTGGCACAAAACTCCAATTTATACAAAGTATGGGCGTGGAAGGGGAGCAGGATGGGAGGCAGCGGCTCTGGTGGTGGTGGCATGGCCTGGCCGCCGCCCTACCACATCCTCAGCCGAAGGGGTGGGGAGGGGGAGCAGGATGGGAGGCAGCGGCTCCGGTGGTAGTGGCCTGGCCTGACCGCCGGGTTCTCAGCCAAACGGGTGGAGAGAGGGAACAGGATGGGAGGCAGCAGCTCTGGTTGTGTTGGCTTGGCCCGGCCACCGCGTTCTAAGCCGAATGGATGGGGAAGGGAAGCAGGATGGGAGGCAGCAGCTCTGGTGGTGGTGGGCCGGCCTGGCTGCTGCACCCGCCACATCCTCAGCCAAATGGGCGGGGAGGGGGAGCATGACGGGAGGCAGTGGCTCCAGTTGGTGGTGGCGTGGCCTGGCCGCTGCGTTCTAAGCCAAACGGGCAGGGAGGGGGAGCAGGATGGGAGGCAGCGGCTTCGGTGGCAGCAGCATGGCCTGGCCACTGCATCCTCAGCCAAACGGGCAGGGAGGGGGAGCAGGATGGGAGGCAGCGGCTCCGGTGGCGATGGCGCGGCCCAGCTGCCACCCCGCCGCGTCCTCAGCCACTTTGCCGTCGTAAGAGGAGGGCACCAAGGCCGGGTGCACCATGGGCAGCTGTGCCGGCAATGGGGAATGCTGCCGCAGGGACGTCCCAGCCTGCCACCAGCCCCCCCGCCCTCGCAGCCCAAGGTCTCCTTCTCCTGCAGCACTGCTGGCGGTGGCGGCAGGAGGAAGGCCAAGAGGACTGTGCAGCAGGTGGGGAAAGGGCCAGGCAGGTGCCAGGGGGAATCCAGTGCCTGTGAGATGGCCAAAAGGCGCAGGCAGAGAGGGGAAGCTCGGGAAGACCCCGGCTACCCCCGTGACTAACAGAGGCAGCAGCGGAGCAGGGTGAGGGGAGACCTGCCAGGCAGAGAAGAGGCACCCCGAGACTGGCCACCCACGGCTCCTTATCAGGGACACTTTTCCAGCAATCCTCCCGGCCACCATGTGCAGTACGAAGAAGGAAAGAGGTTTGTGGGCAGTCCCACAAACCAAAGAAGTTTAACCAATCAATTCAAACTTCATGAGAAGTTTGAATTGATTGGTTGAACTTTTTTAGGCCCACTTTTTTTTCAGACTGCACATGGTGGCTCAGGACAGGGAGCCGCAGGAGATGGCTGAAAGAGCTGCATGCGGCTCCGGAGCCGTGGGCTGCTGACCCGTGGTCTAGTGTATCCACTCAAACCATTAATTCCTCCAATGGAAAAAAATGAGCCAGTTAAAGAATCAGGGATTTTTTAAAGAGGTGAAAAGCATTTAAAGTAAGGTGGACCTTCAGTTTTCTCTAAAACACACTTATTTGGGGCCTTGGGGGGGGGGGTTGGGGATACCTTAGATGTGATATGATCAAAATTGTGTCAGATAATTTCATGGCCATTCCTTTGGTTCACTTTATTAAAAAAATATTTTGGTGTCTTACAACTAATCAATGAAGTATTGTCAGACTGAGAAAAATAATATAATGAAATACAACACAGGATGAGGAGCCGAATTTGAAAATTAAGCAAAAAGCTATTTATCTAAATAAAAATTTAAAAGTCCAGGTCATTATATAATATTCAGTTATGGATTATCTTGATAATTTTTCATGTATGAAAAATATTCACAGAAGGGAATAATGTATTTCTTACCTGTCCACACTTAGAGCACAGAGATTAAGAACAGTGACCCCAACAGATGCCTTCTGAATAAAAGGAAAAAAACGGCAAAGAAATTGTTCAAAATGTATCATCCCAAAGGCCGTTGGAAAATGAAGCTAATAAGACAGAAAAAAGAAAAAGAAACAGTTAAAATGTACATATAAAAAACATGAGCACACAATGGAACCAAGGAAGGTTTAAGCTATGGTATATGCAGTATTATTTGTACATTACTATTACGATATTGTAAAACTGAGCCTGAAGTCCCCACATTTTAGCATGAATTGCAATGTACTTCAACCTGCTGATTTCAATGGATTCAGGCATTTATAACTATCCTAAGCCACAATCAAGAATATTACATCCTAGAAAATGAAGTATGGCCAGTGTGATTCTGATGATTGCCTGAATAAAATATTTTTACATATTTTAGAAAGGGAAGTTTATTTTCTAGAAATACAAAATAAATATGCAATGAATTTTAAGCAATGTAGCATTATTTATCAATAAACATTCCTACAAGGCTTAGATGACAATTGTGCTCAAAGCATTATCTGTCAACTCTAATCCAAGGTTTCATACATCCAGAAAGCCAGAAAAATGGCAGGCAGGCAAGCAAAAGAGGAAGGAAGGAAAGAAGGAAGGAAGGAAGGAAGGAAGGAAGAAAAAGAAAGAAAGAAAGAAAGAAAGAAAGAAAGAAAGAAAGAAAGAAAGAAAGAAAGAAAGAAAGAAAGAAGGAAGGAAGGAAGGAAAGAAAGACCTGACTCTTCTAAAACTGTTAAGTCAGCTGAAAACTTGTCACCCAAAAATTCAGCATGTGGTCTTGGGTAAGGCAGGCAAGCCCTTCCATAAATCACGATGTCAGCATAAATTGACATTAAGAATGCCTACTGGGAAGGAAAGGTGTTACACTGCTCTTCTGGAGCAGCTAATACATTTTGTCCAACCAAAGGACAACAGCAGTAGATTACTATCACTTCCACCAATATACAGAACTCATGGAAAACTAAAGTGGAACCAGGCCTTTCTGGTTCTCTGATATGACTCTTCCGATCTTTTACAATTTCCTAATGATTATATTCTAAAATCTATTTACTAAATTGTATCCTTTGTATCAAAGGATGGCATTCTAGTCATTGAGGTGTACCACATAGAGAAATGACTGTGATGTTGTTGACTTTGGCACAAATGTGGTAAATCAAATGACTCTATTGATGTATCCTCATCCATTATAAGACTCCATAGCAAATTGTGTGGCACATCAGAAACCCCAGGAAAGCCTAATTGCAAAAAATTCTTGGGAAAACAGGTGGAATGTGATTTAATTGCCCACTTTCCCCCCCATCCCAGCTTTCCAGCTGATATTTCTTAGCCCAGCCCAAGTGGCAGAATCAGACAATAGACAAGCACTATTGCAACAGGATTTGGGGTTATAAGCTCTTCAGAGTTTGATAACCTAAGGGACAATAAGGAAGTTTTAGAGGCTTGCTGGCAGCTGCTCCCACAGATAACACCAGTGTGTAGCCATTTAATCCACACCTGATGAAAACAATGTGACAGAAGCAGCACATGGTACATTCAGAATGTCTTCCACTTTAAATGGACTGTAATGTGGCAACAATCAGATCAATAACTCTGAAGAAAAGAAAGTCCAGAACAAGTACATATCTTTCCCAAATATACTTGAATTCCCATATATATTGCTTTTTCTTCCCAGTTTTTTGTTCAGTGGGTTGATGTCAGGGATTCCATGTGTATAATATATTCACTGGGGAGACTTTGCTGAACAGGTTTTCAGGGCAGGCTAGCAACCTAATGTAAATCCTTCTTTTTTTTCTTCTTATAATATTTTGTTGGTGAAATTTAACAAAATTTAATCCAATCTGCTTTAATAGATGTACCATTAAATACTATATATCTTTATTAAAGTTGAAACTATGTTTCTCAAAATAAATTTGCTGAATAATGTCTTGCATAGTAGAATTCTGACCCCAAATTTATAAATGGAAACCAGAAGCTTTCAAATATTTTAAGGTTTTGCTTCTAGAATTCAGGAAAACTGACCAGACAATTACAACTTATTGAGCTTTCCCTCTCTCTAACCTTGGTTATTTCATTTTGTCAAACAAGACACAAATGCTGATAAATTTTACTTGGATGAATTCTCTAAAAGTGACATTATTTGCACATGAACCTCAGGAAAACTTCAGAAAACCAGAGAAAATTCTCACAGTAGGTGCCAATTCTAATTTCAGTGAATCAAATATTCTTCTACTTGAGCATTGCACTGAACTGTAGTAGCTTGATCCTATGAACATAATTATTCTTATTTAAAACTCAGCATGTGACTTAATAATTTATTCAATAAACCAAGGTTATGGAAAAAACTTCTTAGCATTAAGCTTGAACCTAGTCAAAATGTTTTAAAGTAATAGAATAAAAAATTAACCCAATACATATTTTAAAGACTAAATGAAGATCAAATAAAACTTCTATAAATGATATAATCACAGATTAAGTAAATGAAAATAGCCTGACAGTTACTTTAAACTTTTTCTCTTTTTTGTATCAAAATAAAGTATACAAAGTATGATCTAATTGCCAAACCTTATGTACAGTACTATCTCTATATAAGTATTCAATCAGCAAATTGAGCACAACCTTCTAGAATACCCAAAAGTAAAATTAAAAAAAATAGGGCCAGGAAACAAGCACTGTAAGGAATGAATATTTCAAGTTTCTACAGGGCATCAAGTATCTGAAAAAAATAAGAATAAAATTGAAGGAGGAGAAGAAATCAACTCTTCAGTGCTTCAATGAAATTCTAATAGGAGTACATCAATCCAAACAACAGCATTCTGGCACCATTAATATAGTGCTGCATTTTTTTCTATATTTTGCAATAAGTAAAATATGGCCTACTATTTAATTTCTTGGAATCTCAGCTTTCATATTTTTTTTTCTGCACAGGATTGGAATGGGCTGTGACTGATTAAAAAAAGATCTTAGAGTTATTATGGACTCTATTTATTGAAAATAAATTGCACCCTTTGTGCACTTACTGTATAAAAAGCGAATTTTCTTTTTAGGACATGAACTTCAATCAGGAAATTAGAAAATAGAACTGCTAAAATAACAATGTTTTTTTTACAAGACTATGAGGAGACCACTTTCAGAGTATTGTGTATAGTTCCAATCACTGAATTTTAAGAAGGAAAGTACAGAACTAGAAAGGATAAAAAAGACTGTTCATACAATGATATAACCAACATGATTAGGGGGTAGATGCTTCTTTTCCAAAAAAAAAGGTCACAGCTCTTGGAGCTTTTTAGCTTGGAACAAATGTAAGGGATGATGTGGTAGGGGTTTATAAATCATACCATGGTATAGATTATGTGGATATAGACAAGTAAGGTTAGAACATCTGCTGAAATTAATTGCAGAAAAATTAAAAATCAACAAAAGCCTTTTTTTTGCACCATCCATAGTTAAAAATAATAGAATAGCAACATGTATAGACAATTTTAAAAGAAGATCTGACAGGTTGCTAATGACAGCAGAAGGACTGTCACTACTTTGTGCCTTAATTCTGGTTGTTCAAAATTCAAGTTATTTGAACTATTTCGATCAAGGCCAGAATTGAAAAATCATCAAATGATTCAAAGTGCAGATTCTGCAAAGAAGCAAAAGAAACAGTAAGTAGATCATATACTCAGCTCCTGCAGGATTGCACAAACTGATTATAAACAACAGCATAACATAGTCACCCAAATGATTTACTGGAACATCTGTAAAAATTATCATGTACCAGTAATAAAAAATTAGAGGGAAGATAACATTGAAAAAGCAGTTGATAATGAGTGGGTTAAAATATTGTGGGCTATTTTAATCAAGACTAATAAAATTTTGTCTCATAACATACCAGTTAACAAAGTACAAAGAGCTGAAAATCAAAACTGAAAGATTATGGAATAAACCAACAGCGGTTATCAGCAGACTGGTTGCCATATTAAAAAATCTGGGACAACAGTTAGAAAATCTGTGCACTGTTAAAATCTCCATCAGTCAATTACAAAAAAACCCACACTGCTTGGATCCGCAAATATACTATGCTGAAACATTATCACATTCTAGTCCTTGGGAAGAACCTGATGCAAATAAGGAACAATATCAGCTAGAGAACTGGCAACTGCAATACCACATTGTTGTGTATATAACATCTGTCCATTCCAAGTTTTTGGGAAGGACTCTATAGTTGAACAAAAATGCCAAATCCAATCTAATTATCTGGCTGATTGTACATCTGAATATAATATTGGTAATAATTAAATTTATATGCCATTTGACCGCCAGTGACTCAAATACATTCAGTTGGCCATTGAGTAATTGAAAATGCTGGATTAGATAGGCTTCTGGCCTCATGCAGCAGGAATCTCCTTATGACCTATGTTCACATACCCACACATCTCTAATTAATATTATTTAAAAACATTCATGATAATTTTTACATGTGCACACATTCCTTGACTTTCTTCCAAATCCATGCATATAATCAGGAAAAGTGATCTAAAATTTGTGTCAATGGGATAGAAATGACTCCCATGAGTTAATAAGAACCATGTGGATGGAAGTCTGGCCCAAAACATATGTATCTAAACGATTTCCAAACAAAGCTTAAAGTTTGTTCTTATGCCAAAACTTCGGTCAGCTAGAGTTCAATTTACTTTCAAAGAATGCTATTTTTTTTAAACTTATGGCGTAAGTAAATCTACTGGGTTAAGAAGAGTTGTAAGAAAGGAAATGGTTATTGAAGAGTGGTATATAGAAAGAAAGGCAAGCTTAGGTCAATATCAAATATTAATTAAGATATGAATGTTCACAAAGACCATTTCTCCAAAGGGATCATTTATGTCATTAGGCAGAATCCCCTGGCAGTGCAAGCACCTGAAGAAAAACAGATGGCTGTCCAGTCTCTCCATAAACACATCCAGCAAAAAGGATATCGCTGTCTCCTTTACATGTGGTTCATTTTTATAACACTTAATTGGAAATTGCTTTTAATTAACTTTATTCCATATTCGGCACCCTGGTCTAATTGAAATTAGGTCTTGACCTT